ACCTGGTGGAGAAATTCTTTGCTGAGGACGCTTTTTTTATGCTTGCTGTATAGCATGGCCTATGGAACTGTTTTAGATGTACACAATGACTCAAGTGTAACAAAGAATGGAAAACTATATGATATATGATACATTTGCAATAAAAACATTCACAGTCATTGTAACACATCACTTCTCACGTGTCTAGCTTCTTACCCTAACCATCAAAAATGAATGCCTAACCCTAAACCCTTGGCCTAAACCTAACTGTAACAGGAATGACATACCTGACCACATAGTTCACTCATTTAACACACTTTATTCCCGTTTGCTGCTCTCAGAACACTCAGCTGCAGCATTTCAGCTACAGTCACACACAACAACAACAACCAAAACTCCTCAGGTCCAGGCCTGTTTAATAGTGGAGATATGATGAGCTGATCGAGCTCAGCTTTGTCCGCCTCCCCCACAGCTGCGCCACGACCAACGCCCTGCCACACTAACCATAACCTAATCCGGTGTTTAAATCTGACAACATTGGCTGTTTCCGGATCCAACTTCCGCTTCAAGTCCCAAAGTCAAACGAACACTGTGGCATCACTGGGGGTAAGAAATGTTCTAAATCTCTTGATCTTTAATAAAATGATCGGTATTGCTGCTTTACCAGGTGTAAAAAGTACAGCTCTGCTATCACATCTGACAGAAATGAAGACAGAAAACTAAACAGCAGTGACTTTTCTAGTGTTACTGAACTTGGACTAGCTGGTATATAATGATGTGCTACGTGGTGGCTAGCTACACAGCTATAGTTAGCATAATATTAACACATTAGCTCAGTGAAGCTGGAGGATGAACGCTAACTTTTTTCCACTCGATAAAAGTTAACGTGAGGGTTCTAAATGGTTAGGGACAAATGCAATCACATGGCAGTATCCTGTAAACGGACGGAGAACAACTAGAACACAATACAAAGCATTAAAACATGTTAAAAACATAACAGCCTTAATAAACAGAGTAGTTTGAACCCGGAAGCAGGGTTCATACGTGATCATTTAAAGACTGGATTGTAACCCTGACACTAAAACCCAGGGCTCTAGAGTGCGACCAATTTGGTCACATATGCGACTTCATTTCTCAATGGTGCGACTGAAAAAAAAATCCTAGGTCATACCGGTGCGACCTGCCGTTCTTGTACAAAAAAGAAAAAGTCTCCGCAACTCTGAAAGTCTGAAACTCTGGTCAACAACAGACACACATTATGTCCATATTGTGGTCCAAACCAGTCAGACATAGTCAGGGGCAGAACTCTCTGATTGCAGAAAACACCAGAATCTAAGGTTAAAGCTATCAAAACTATTTCAACAACCACCAAACAGCTAAAACAGCAAACCAGAGCAGGTAAACGGATTCCGCACAAAGACATAAACACAGAGTGTGGAACCAACGCATCAGAGTGAGTGAGATGTCTGCTTTCTCACCCGACGGCACATACGCAGACACGCTATCGAGGCTGAAAGCCAACAGCTCACTGATTCTGATGCGTCAGGTCCGCTCTTTGTGTTCACATCTTTTTTTGCGCTAGATTCTGATGCTGCAGGTTTTGTCTCTCTCCAACCAAATTAGACTGAACCAGCAGCAAAAGAAGATCAAAACTAGGCTTCACATTTGACAAACATCGTGATTAATTCCCTCTTACTTTTTGTACCCATTAGTGCCTGTTGGTCTCCACAAGTATAGTGGCATGCCAATTTTCTTTCCTCACAAAGATGTCTAAACACACACGCACGCACAGGTTAAAGACACTGGACCAGAGTACTATTAGTCTTTCAATCAACAGGAGCATGAACCGAACCAGTGATAGCATTACTTTTGAGCATTACAATGTTTGTTTGGATTTTTTACATATTATAAGATTCATGCAAATTAAGATATAAACACACCATATTGTCAGGATCCTGGGTTTCCTGACCCAGCGTTTTTAGTTCTTTGTGATTTTTGTATTTTGTACTCGTGTGATTTATTCTATGGTTTCTAGTTTTGATCCCTTATATCTCATGGTTGGTCTTTTGTTACTCCCTCGAGTCTAGTTTCTTGTGTTCCATGCTTAGTATTTCCCTCTGTGTATTTTGGTTCTTAGAGTCCT